CGAAAATTTCAGGTTAGAGATTTCGATCCGTTTTTGAAACCAGGTCGAGTTCGGGTTGACCCAGAAACCAAAAATCAACCCGATTTGGCCTATTTTTAATTAATTTAGGAGGATTTTAAAAGATTAATAAAAATCCCAACAATTACTTATAAGTTTGCCCCCCTCCCCCCCTAGAGAATTAAGGTTGGTTCCGCCCCTGCTCATTGACTACCATCAGACCACCGTCCAGTCATTAATTACTGCCAGTAGGGGTGTCAATATTTGACACGACACGAAAACCCGACCCGAAAAATTATGGTTGGACCCGACCCGATTTCAAAACGGGTCGGGTTTGGGTTCTAGAAATCGACCCGTTTGAAAAACGGGTCGGGTTCGGGTTGACCCGACGGGTTGCCGGGTCAACCCGTTTGACCCGAAACACGCAGTCTGAGTCCGAGCCAGCCCGCGTCACGCTCGCGCCCGACCGCGTCCACGCTCGCGCCCGACCGCGTCCGCGCTCGCACCCGCGCGCTGCTGCCCTTCCACTCGCTCGTCTAATTTTATCACATACCTTCGTCGGACCACTGCCTAGCTGTCGAACGCTACGGGCTGGCTCGGACATCGACTGCCGTCGGACTTCAACCCGAACTTCAACGGTTCACCGTTATACCACCGCCCGGCCACCGACCGCTGCTAAACTTCAGCCTGACAGCTATCAGAACATCGCCCGGCCGCTGGCCGCCGGCCGCTGACCACCGCCTGACTTCAGCTTAACCACTGCCCGATCACCGACAATCGTCAGACTTTCACCTAACCGCCGACCGCTGTCGGACTTCAATTCGTCCTTCGTCGAACCATTGCCCAGCATTTGACCGCAGTCGGACTTTAGCCTGGCCTTCGTCGGATCACCGCCCGGCCGTCGAGAGTTGCAAAACCTCCACTCAACTGTCGTTGAACTTTTACTCATCCGCTGAGCCGTCGAACTTTAGCCCGACCTTCGTTGGACTACCGCCTGACCATCGACCACTGCCAGACTAGCTTCCACCCGACCGTCGATTAGTGTCAGACTTTAGCCTGACCTTCGTCAGTGACCACCCGACCGTCTACCTCCGCCGAACTTCCAACAGGTCAACAACCGCAGCCAATCTTCAGCCCGACCTTTGATAAACCATCATCCGGCAGTCGCACCGAACTTCCAACCAACTACTGACCATCGTCGGATTTCAGCTCGACCTTTTTCAGATCACCGCCCAACTGTCCACCGCCTCCTAATTTCCACCCGATCCTCGAGCATCCCCGGACTTTCGCCCGACCTTTGTCAGATCATTCCCCGTCAACTAAACTTCTACCCTGACACCGTAAGCTTTCTACCCGACCGTCACCAGATCTTCGCATAAGTCTCCAAACTATTGTAATTTGACCGCCTCTAAGTTAACGAAATGTTAACCTTTGTAATTCACTCAAAGTTAGTAGAATTGTTTCACCTGTGCAAGGCCCCGTAATTTTTCCCTCTTCGTGCTTTCCACACAAAAAGATCGAGTGTTTTACTTCTCTCTCTCTCTCTCTCTCTCTCTCTCTCTCTCTATTTGTGTGTTGGATATTCATGCATCACTAAGACAAAAGTTTACTCAATCCACCACCACAAATATTCTAGCCCGCAATAAAATTAAGTTAAATTATGTAGGATTAAATCCTTTGGTTCATATAAAGATAAATTGCTATAAGCTAAGAAGAGCCAAAGATAAATTGCGATAGTTTTCGTGCGCAGCGATAATTTTCGTAACGGTTTTAGCCGCCACTATTATGTAAGTATAACAGCAATTTAAACCGTCTCTATTTTTTCACATTCTTTTTTTCATGATTTTATATGCAGTAGCAGCAAGAAAATTGAAGAACAATGGACACTGAGCTAAACTATGAAATAAAAGACTTCATACTTCTATAGCTAGCTTTGAAGGAATTTTGTTTTTTTTTTTTCAAGATTAGTACATTATAAATTTTGAAATACTTAGTTTAAATAAATTTAATAATTTAGAGATCTATTTAAACATAATAGTCAAACTTCTCTTGCCAAACATTTAATACAAAATTTATTTTAGTCAACTATGTATTTATTCCAACAGTTTTTAACTTAAAAACACAATATAGATTCGGGTCGTATGGTTGAGCAGTAGCCAACGTTAAGCCGGTCAAATTTCGGCCTAAAATTTCACATTTTTCAATGCTAAGTTGAATTGCTGCTTAAATTACATTCGGTCCAATTTAAAATTTCATTTTTAATCTTTTTTAATGCGTATATTATATTTAATATCGATGCTATTGAAAGTTCAAATTAGGGGTGTCAATATTTGACATGATACAAAAATCCGACTTGAACTCGACCCGAAAATTTCGGATTTGACCCCAACCGATTTCAAAACGGGTCGGGTTCGTGTTCCAAAAATCGACCCGTTTGAAAAAGGGTCGGGTTCGGGTTGACCTGACGGGTTGTCGGGTCAACCCGTGAACCCGTTTAAAATCAGCTGCCCGCACTGCCCCGCCTACCCACGCAAAGCCCGCGGCTGCCTGCACCCTGCCCGTGCGAAAAAGCTTGCCAGCGCACTCTGCCGCACCGACGCTCCGCGTGAACAATACGACATCAATATTGCATTATATCTCAAACACAAATGCATTATTACACTTTTTTCTCCACTGTGTACAGTGCAACATCAATATTGATATCACAATGTTCACAAAAATGTGTTTTTGAGAACTTTAATGACTCATTTTTAGACTAAAAATAGAGAAAAGAAAGAATATATACGTAATATTCCTTTTTGATATTAGAAACTAAGTTCATTTGGAAATAAATTACTGTTTGATATGAATGTTACTGTATTTTGAAGTGAAAAATGAGTTTTTTCGTTGTTTTTAAGAAATTCCAGCATCATAAAGTTGTATGTTACAATAGCTTTCAGAAAATTACTTTTCCTGCTATAGTTTTACAATCACATTCACAAGAAGTTTCAGCCATCACAAACAGACTCGATTTAAGTTTATCAATTACCTTATCTATCCCAATCATGGATTGATCATAGAATTTTTTTAGTTGGGCGCCATTCTTAATAAAATATATTGATAACTTAGGCTTTATTTGGGACAGCTTCCTTAATGCATATTAAAATAACTTTCTAGTTTAAAATTTTAATTTTTAAACTAGAAAGTTGTTTTAAGAAACAATAAAAAAGTCGTCATGCTCCGTTTGGAACGACTTTCTTATTATTTTCTAAAGCAACTTGTTAGTTCAAAAGTTTATTAAACTAAAAATTTGGGTGCCAGAAAACCGCTTTCGAAAGCATTAAGAAAGTTGTCCCAAATGAACCCGACGACTTTCTTACTGCTTCTTAAAACAATTTTTTAATATAAAAATTTAATTTTTGCACTAAAAATTTATTAAAAATAGTAAAAAAATCATACCAAACCAAGCCTTAGTATTAGTTGAAAAAATAGTTTTAAATATATATTTAAAATATATACACACATCATAAACAAATTATTTAAAAAAAAACTCTGCTTTTTCACTCAAATATAATGCAACATCTTTAGAGTAATTTTGAAAAACACAAAGAAATGGCCCTTAATTCTGAAGTTAAAACTGTGTGAGGGGGAATGAAGATACGCTTATCGAGAAAAGTACAAAATAGAATAATCAAACCTCAAAATCGAGAAAGCCCACATTTAATACGAAATTATTTTAAATAGCTCCGACAAAATTTGAATTAAATCGCTTTGTTAGATTTGGCTATCTAGCTGAGCATGACCCAATTTCTTGCCGGCCCAAATTTGTTTTGAACACATTTTGCCATGCCATAAGGTAGGCTTGGAGCTCGAATTGGATTCAGAAATTTTTTGGAATTATTATTATTTTTGTATTTTTTTAATATATTAAATATTTTATGTTGATCACGATTTGTAGGATTCAAAATTAGTCTTAAAAATATATGAAAATTTTACGAAATTAATCAGCTAAAAAATAAGAGAAATTAGATCTCAATCAATATGTTAATTAGTGCTATTATATCAAATGTTTTTAAAATTTATGAATTAGCTCATGCTATTATGAAAGCTCTCTCTCTCCCTCTCACACTCTCTTTCTCTTTCAACCACAATATGTGATTAGGGATGTCTTCAGTGAGGTAGGAAGATGCTCACGAAGTTCACCAATAATTGAGGGGAAATTATTATGTGCAGCCATCAGACAGTCTGGAGTCGAATCAGGACAGGCCATGTTATATGGTACATAGCACTGGTACACAACAAAAAAGTGCCATGACGTATCCTAATTCGCCTCCATACGATGTCTGGTGACTACACATACTAATTTCTCATAATGGAGGTCAGATAAGATAAATTATTATGTGTGGAGTTCAGACGTAGAGACACGTCTAGACGTTCACTTAAAATTTGACACGTGGAGTGCACTTTAGTTGTATTTTTTTGGTGATTTTCTCGCGCTTTACATGTGCTTTATTTGCACTTTAACTGCGCTTTGACTACTATTTTGTTGTACTTTTTGCTGCGCTTTGACTGTATTTTACCTGCGCTTTGACTACTCTTTTAATGCGCTTGGCTTAAAGTTCTGCGGACACATTAAATATATTAAGTAAAAAATAAATCCAATTGAATATCCACGTGTCCGCTCAATATGTCAACATTTTATTGGAGTTTAGACATACCTCTACGTCCGGACTCCGCCCGTAATAATTCCTCAAATGAAAACGATTGAGAAGTATTTAGGTATGTTCAAATATGAATTCAAATTTGAACATATTCGAACCTATTTTGTTGTATGAGATATAAGATGTTATTACCCGTTATAAGTAATTTTGTCTGAAATAAATTTTATGATATTTCTCTTCAATAAAATAAATAATGACTTTTTTTATTCTATATAATATGAAACATATATACTCAAAATTTTCTATATATGTTCTAATCTTCTTATAAAAATTGACTAAAGTTAGACACAACTTATATTAAACCAAATTGCTAAACTTTGAACCAAACTGCCGGCCTTAAATGACCCCTTTCAGCCCTTTTTCAGTCGACCAATTTATAATACCAGCCGTCTTCTTCTCCGCCTTCTTATCACCACTATGGCTCTCTCCGACGGCCTAAATACAGAGGACTGTGACTCTTAGCCCTCTATACGTCACCATTAGTGGGCCTTCTCCTCTCTGCCCTTTGCCTTTTTGAGTACTCTTCTCTCCTTCCTCCCCACTTTTAAATTTACCCTTCTCTCTTCCACTTCCCCACTCCCCTGCTCTCATTTATCCCTTCCTCCTCGCCCCAAAACAGCCAGCTTTTTTCATGATGTGGAAATCCCTGCCTGGAGCTCTGATCTACTACCTAAAATGCTCTCCTTTCTTCTCCCAACCCACGGTTTTCAAAGATCTGGAAGGCGTTTCCGACTCGCCGGAGCAACCTAAAAGAAGACCCGGTGGCTGGAAATCCATCCCCTACATCATAGGTTCTATTTTCTCTTCCGATCGATTACTCTGTCTCACATTTCCATTGATTTTGATTCTGAAAGGCTTCGGTTTTGAGAAGGTAATGAGACGTTCGAGAGAATGGCGAGTTATGGGATCACGGCCAACTTTACGGTGTATTTACTGAAGAGATTTCGCATCGAGCCGGTGGCGGCGGCTAGCATGTCTAACATCTTCTTAGGCACAGTTAACTTCGCGCCGCTGATCGGAGCTTTTATAGCCGACGCTTATTGCGGACGTTTCCGTACGCTCGCTTATGGCTCCATCTCTTCTCTTCTGGTAATTCCGAATCCCTCAAGCTTCTTCTTTGCTGCTCCGGCGGCCGCTGATTTTTTTTTGGGATTAATTTAATAGATCTTTAACTAAATAAAAAAATTAGGAAATTTTAAATTATTCTCACCAAATTTTAATTAGAATATTTACACTCAAATTTTCTCCTTTTTACCTATTTTATTTTATTTTTCTCCTTTTTAACTATGGTGTATAACAAGTATTGCTTTATGATACTGTAATTAGTAAATATTTGCTTTTAAGAGAATATCTCTTTTGGAAGCTTTGATAAATAATCAAAATGCAATGATTAATTTCAATTGTTTTCAAAATGAAAATTTTATTTTCATAAATGTATTATTTTGGACATAAAGAAGAAGGGTTGTTTGTATTTAAAAAAAAAACTAATTCTTTATTTTTTTAATGAAATTGGCTCATAAATGTATTATTTTGAAAATAAAGAAGAAGGGTTGTTTGTATTTTAAAAAAAAACTAATTCTTTATTTTTTTAATGAAATTGACATAATTTTTTTTTTTATTTTATGAAAATGGCATCTAATAATTGGTTTTTTCTTTTTAATATATTTTTATTTGTCTTTTTTATTTTTATAAATTATGAGTTTATATGAAATTAGCATCTAGACCTATGAGTGTAGTAAAAAATTAAAACTTTTATACTAGAAAAGCTTCTTTAAGTAGCAAGAAAATTGCCCAAACGAAGACTTAGGCTTCGTTTGGGACGGCTTTTTAATTGCTTTCTAAAATGGAGTTGTAGTACAAATTTTTTATTTTTTGTACTAAAATTCCGTTTTCAAAAGCAATAAAAAAGCCATCCCAAACAAAGCCTTAGTATGACTTTAACATATCACTTTAATAATTATTATTAAGTAATTTTGGCATTCTAATCTTACATGCTTTTGCATATTGTTATTGTTAACAATCCTCTTATATTGTTATTGGGAGAGAAATTAATTATTTTCATGCAAACATTGATTTCTATATTTCCCACCATTGATTGATATAGGCTTCTTTTAATGCCATTTTTTTTTTACTATTTTTCTTTTTAGACTGTAATCATAATATCTATTTGATCGCCATTTTTTCTGTGCTCTTAAAAAAATTGTGCTAAAAAGTTGTTTTTTACAATAGTTTTAACAAGTTATTTTCTCTATAGCAGCATTACAAAATAGTAAGAAAGCCGTCACAAATGGTGCCGTAATTTTAAGTGTAACTTAAGGTCCGTTTGTGACGGCTACAACTTTTTATAAAGCTGGTGGTTCCTACATAAAAAAAATTCCTAAAAGCAGTCACCAAAAATAAACTATAGTTGCGATTTAAAAAACAATGCAGTAAGAAAATTGACCTAAACAAAGCCTTAGAAGTATTAAAATAATTTATTTCTATAAAAATGTTGATATATTAAACCTTAAACTTCATTATCAAAATAGAATTAAATGTAATAACTTCTTCAATTAAAAATTGTTTAAGCACATTCAATTTCCTTAACATCTTAAATTATTATTATTTGAATTGAATTATATTTATATTAAATTTATATTTTAGCATTCAATAAAAAAAAAAAAAAGTTGGATGGATTGATAGGATGGATCCTTTTATAGTGATGGGGATCATGAGACTATATTATTTAACTGTACTTTTTTAACACTTAGGATGCTGCGATTAGTCACTTTGGTACTATCTTTAGTGCAACACTAATAAATCAATGCCGTCTAAGATAATCTGCGCATTGCACCTTTAATTCGTTGATTAAGAAGCGTTTAAGTTAATTAATGGATTGGGAACATAAGCCACATGGAGAGGTCACTAAGTCCGCATATTTTTCCACATTTAGGGAAACACCATGATTGGTGGCTTTGTTTTTGCATAAAATTATTTGGTGAGAATAGCTTTCTTTTTTTATTACATTGTTATTTTAATTTTTATAATGAATTTATATTTAGACCAGCATTAAATAACACAAAATAAAAAAAAGGTGAAGTATCTAATATATTAAAAGTAATTTTATACGATAATTTAACACAATTAATTAATTGATAGTATTGTTATGAATGACAGCCTATACACATTAATAAAGTAAACAAAAAGTAGGAGGGGAAAGATTTTTTTTTCTTTTCTGTCATGTTAATAATCAAATTCTTATTAAATTTAATAAAAATGTCATTTCTAATATTTTATAGTCAAGTCTTCCTAGGTTTACCTTTAATTCTCTTAACATGTATCTATTCTAATACACCTGCTCTCCTAACGGATTCATAAAAAGGCTGACATTTTATGTGACCAAACCATCTAGGGTGATTCTCTCTAGTCTTGTCTTTCATTGGAGCTACTCCAATATTTTCATGTATGTGCTCATTTCATATTTTGTATCTGATAGTGAAGCCACTCATTTCCATGAGCATCCTCATCTTTGCAACATTTAAGTTAATTTTATGCTTCTCTTTTAATGACCAACATTTTGCACGATAAAGCATTGTAGGTCTCACCACCATATTATAAATTTTCCCTCAAGTTTGAGGGGTACTTTTCTATCGCACAACAGACATGATGCATTCCTCTACTTCAATCATCCAACTTGAATTCTAATAATAATATTCCTGTTTATTAATAATTTGATTGTTCAACGTCTCAATTCCCCTACTAGATCTATTATTATAAAATTACACTCCATGTCTTCGATTTTAGATATACTCAAGCGAAAACCTTTAGACTCTAAATTTGACCTCTATAATTCAAAGTTTACCTTCAACTTTCTCTCTCTTAGACTTACCAACAAGAAGCCATCATCAGCAAAAAACATACATCATGGTACATCGTCTTGTAAATATTGTCATTGTTAGGTCTGTGATAAGAAAAGTTTAGGGTTACATTAGGTAGTTGACAATCATCATAAAACTTGTTGAATAATCATGACATGAATCTTTTAATACATTGCATTAATTTAAAAATCTCATAATGTGATATAGTATATCATTACGTGTAAAGTATAAATAGAAAGTTAATGGTGATAAGCTTGAGTGCAAGGTATAGCATTAGTTTTGGAGGCAATAGGACATGAAGGCAATGAATGAAATGTTGCTATAAAAGGTCAAGGAGATTATTGGTGGTTGTTAAGATGATCCTCCTCCTATTGCCAAAGCACACAACTTTAAGACAGTAGATGAGGCGATATTTAAACGCTACGAATGATATTGAGGATGGTCAAATAGTTCCTTTTGTTAGAGATAAGCATAACACAACATAAAGGCAATATGTGAAGTGACGATAGAAAGTTATGGAGGTAACTAGAGGCAATCATGATGATCCTTCTTTTAGCATTAAAGATTGCATAGCCTAAAGGAAATGTGCAACACTATTTAGAAAGGTAGTAGTGATGATTTAGGGCATTTAAGAGGTTTTGATCTCTTGGGTATAAAAAAGTATTCTGTGTGGACGTCAAATGCTGTTAGAAATCAATCGGAATGTGCTATGTCACAATTTTACTGTACCGCGGCTTGGTATTGCTCGTTACAGCGGTTCGATACCGCTGGGTACTGTAGCATCTGAACGTAGAGCTGTATTCGACATCCGCACACAGAATGTGCTATGTCACAATTTTACTGTACCGCGGCTCGGTATTGCTCGTTACAGCGGCTCGGTAACGCTGGGTACTGCAGCATCTGAACGTAGAGCTGCATTCGACATCCGCACATAATAATTTCTCCTTGGGTACAGATGGAATGACCTTATGAAAAAAAAATTGAGGTGACTACCAGAGCCCTACATTGGGTCCTGGCTGGGTACCCATTGGGTACCCATGCTCTGCGCTAGCGGGCTTTGCCCACCCACACCTACCTATGGTGATTTTCCGGATGTCATACCCATCCACACCCACCCACTTTCCACGCTTATTGAATGCAGTCTGCCATAGAATAATGGCCTTGAGGTTTTTTGTCAGTTTCTCTGACTGCAAACTTTCAAACCACATATCAAAATTTATCATGGTTGTGACGCGGTTCAGTGTTGTGCATTGCGTAGTAAGGATTATTATAATATACTATATGTATATGATGATTAGTAATGTAAATCAGTTCTCCTCTGATGTTGAGTATCCATTGCAAAATAAATTTAATAATTTTGAAATAAATTTAGGCAAAAAATTTAAAATTTTTAATTATAATATAATAGTTCAAAGCATTAAAGACGTTTTAATATTATGCATTTCATTTTAAAAATATTTGAGAAAATTTATTTTCGATGGGTTAACTTTTTATATGATCTTAAGTATTAGCTTCGAAGATATTGTGAGCCACTAATAATAACGAATTTGCCGGCGTAAATGAACAGGGTATGGTGGTCCTAACTTTAACGGCGGCCGTCCCCC